AACCTTACCTCAGGGCCGCCCCGGACCACCCCGGAGCCTATCTGGGCTGAGACACCAAAGCTTTCAGCTGTTGGGGAAAAACAAATGTTTGGAACATGTTTCGACCAGCCCGGTCCAAGGGACTCCGAAGAATTTGGATGAGATCCCATAGCCCGCCGCAAAAAGGCATGAACAAACAACCCCAGAACATGGTTAATAACTCCTACAAGCCCAAGCGCATAACCCCAGTTGGCCCATAGCCCTACCATAACCCAGGATAACCCAAGAACATGGCTAATAACTCCTACTCTCACCCAAGAAGCGGATGGAACCAGGGCGCTGAAATGGAAACTCACACTTGCTGAGGTCCGCCACCAGCTTTCGGATCTGCGCCTGAACTTCCGATTCGCTCGGCTCGGGCGGTCGGGCGGTCGGGCTGCTGGCACACATATGAATATATACGAGCATATACATTATTTATACAAAAACAAGCCATAGTGGCAACCAAGGAAACTAACAAACGTAGTGACATAACATACACACAACACAGAAAACAGAAACACTGCCATAACCGAGGCAACCAACAACAATGAACAAACAAGCCTCTAGAATATCAGGCTGCCTGTACTGTAATGAGGAATTTTGGACACGCTTTAATCGCATTAGCCTGTATGTTGTCAAGTTTTCCTAATTCTGGATCTCGTGACTGTTTGGGGTCCTCTATTGCGACAAGTTTCCCCCCCAAAACAAATCCAAAAAAAAGCGGGGAAAACATCCGGAGCAAAAACAACTAGCCAAAGAAGTCTGGCAAACAAATCCGGGCAAACATTAGGAATTCCTTTTTTGTTCTTTACACACATCAAGGGCAAACATTCGCACAAAGGGGGTTGCCCACAAGAGGCCCTGCTCTTTAATGTGACAGTTTCTAAAGAGGGTCCAAAAGACTGGTTCCACTGTTCGGGGAGGGGTGGAGGGCGGTGGTGGGGGGCTTCACAAAGCAGGTCCAACATTACAACCAAAGCAATATGGCCGTGGCTCGAAAATAGGATCTCCCCAATCATCGTTTCGTAATCTAGAACAAGATTTCAAAATGTCCACACAATCTGCCGTCCCCTGGCTCCTTCCTTTGGAGATTCGGTATTGTTTACAAGATACATACTAAAGCTCCAGGAAGAATTAAAACACATTTACTGACGTGGCCATTGATAATATGCGGTTGTCTCTAAATAGGGGACCCCCCCCCCCAAAAAGGGTGGTTGTCATTTGTTTTCCTTCAAAGACAACTACTCCCACACCCGTATTGATATTGGGTATCATGAGAGTCTGAACAGTTCAAATGAAGGCATGGATTTGGCCAAATACGTCATGATAATAGAAACACGGTGCTGGACAATCGAACAACCTAATGTTGACCCCCTATTAATCAACCCCAGTTTATTAATAGGGGGGTGTTCCCCTCCAAAAGCGAACAATCCCCACTAAAACCAGGGACACCCCAATATTAATCAGCAGGGGTTCATTCATAGGGGGTGGTCATTACCATACTTCACACAGCAGAGCTCACGAATCCTAAAGCAAAGGACCTGCATGAGTTCGGAGACTCCAAATATTTTGGAGCCCGAAACTCCAGCGAGTCGCGCCTCTGACAAGGGGTCCCCAAACTTGATGGCACGTCGACAGGCCTGCACTGGACGCCACGATTCCGGAGGGGGGGAATTGTCAAAATGATCGGGCCTTTTGGTGTGGCCTTTAAAAGGCAAGGCGGACCTGGGTCCATCTTTTTGACCACCCCCCCCCCCCATATAGTGGCTATTCTTGCCATCCCATTACACCCTGGAATATGTGATCTTGGGGTAGAAGCCATCTTAAAACCACCTATTATGAAGGCTTGAATGATTAGAATGGCCCCTATATGAATCAGTTCTCGCCAAGTGGGCGTTTCTCATAAGGTATATTGTCGCTTTGAAAGATCTTGGCTAGACTTAATTAGATTTTCTGCAATCCGACCAGTTGCTGCCTGAGGAAATTTGAAGAACCCCAAAGCGCAAAAGTGGCCATGAGAGTTCAGTCCGGAAATGATTGAGGGCTGCTGTCAAGACGTGATTGGCACAAAGTGCTTTCCCTTCAAAAAAGGGCCTGCAAATCTGAGACCCTTGCGGGTGGGACATTGTTTTGAGGAAGGGTCCAAACTCCGAACACCGTGGCCCACAATCAAATAACCGCTTGCGCTAGAGACTCCACAAGGAGGTCAAAAAGCCTTCTGAACGCCAACTAAGATGCCAAGGTTGGGAGAAGGGTTTCCGGGCCTGATGACACAGGATCCCTACCTCGCATTTGTTGGAGTTGGGTATTTGGCGATGACATGACTGCGTGCTGCCCAGTGGTGCCTCGGACATCTGCCAGATACCTGTACCCCACGTTAGGGTGGTGTCAGCTCAAGGGGGATATTGGGGGCATGTTCCCGGACGGGCACAGAAATCTTGCTTTCCACTCAGGCCCATAGGGATTTGAAGTGGCACTGGTTACATCATCATAATCATTCGGTCTGCCTTCCTCTCCAAATCAGAGCAGCACCTGGGAAGCTATGCCTTTAAAGGGCTGCCGTCTTCGGGGTGGAGACAAATCTTTTTGCATCCCTCTCGTGAAAGGGTTCCCCATTTGTCCCTTTTGAAAACTTCCCTCGGGTTGGAATTTGTTGATTCCGCATCACCAACCCCCGCAAAGAATGGATTGGCACCCTTGAAGTCGGGGGGGATCGCAAAAGAACACGGACACTCTGGTTTTGTTGGTTGATTCCTCAACAGGGATCCTTACGTTATACACCTGAACATTGCAACTTGTCAATGGTGGCTTCCATTTCTTTATTTTGGTGTTGAAAAAGCAACATGTTTCAAATGGTTGCAAAATGAATTTCTTTTAAGGAGCCCTGCTCAAGAATCAACCCACCAAGAGCAAAGGAGCAACCCCACTGCCAGCCGCCCATTGCAATGACTCCAATTGACAGGCCAAGGGTACCTGAGAATACTTCTCTGTAGTCTATTTTAGTAGGGGAAGCCTCTCCCAAAAAAGGGGTGAGAAAGGGCACTACTGGGGGACCTAGCTATCTTCAGCTAGCTATCTTCAGCCCCCGCCTTGAACGTCAGGATGTGTAGCACCACCGGCGGCACGCCTTTCACCTCGCCTGAAAACAGAAATGCCCGCAGGCGTCAACCCTCAATCACCCCCGAGAAGTCTACACTTCCCTCGGGGTCCATTTGGGTGTAACATTTTGTTGAGGCTACCTTTTGTTGCGTGTTTTTCTGATCACACAAAAATGTGTTTTACATGTTGTGTAGGTAATCAAAACAACTACCCTTTGCACCAAAAGGAAATTGGCTGGTTGCCTAGTGGGATCCACTGGCGTAAAAAAAATGGACCCGACCCCATCGACATGAGACAGACCTTAAAACGGACTTTATCAAAGGTGAAATTCAAATGATCCAAACATTCATTGGGTGACTTCTTGAACACCCTTTGAGCGGTTTTCCCTCAACCACTCCTCAGTTAGAATAAGGGTACCAACCTTTTTTTCTGTAGTCTATTTTAGTAGAAAAACCCTCCCAACCAAAAAAGGGGAGAGAAGGACACTACTGGGGGACCTCGCCGTAAATCGCAGGTGGTGTCCCCTTGCAACCGGGCGCCGGTTCGCTGAATCGCCTCGCCTTCGCCCTTCGCCGCGAAGGACAGCACCGGCTTTAGGTCCACCGGAGACAAGACCTCAGCGAACGCGGAGCTGGTCGAAGACACCCGGGGAATGGCCCTGGGCTTTTCAAAGTCCGCATCGGTTCGCCAGTGAACGGGACATCCGACCACTGAAATCGGTTCTAAAATGGGTGGTGGATTCTCCTACCCCGAAATGGGGGTCCATTGGTTTTGACCCACAGATGGAAAGGGTCGAAAGCAAAACAACCCGGCAACCATTGTTCTTTTCCTCACTTCCCAGCGGGTTGGCCAGAAGGTCTGCTGGTAAATCATCAAGATGAAGAAAGTTGGGTCCTTTCTTTCCTTATTTGTTTTTTAGGGGACCGGGGGGACCACGCAGAATGGCGGTTTTGCTCGGAACGCCAGGGGTGCGCCTGCCCAGTCTTGTCACGTACTGGAAGGAAGTTGGTACTTGGGAGGTCCTTTTTGGAAAATAGATGGCCCTGATAGACTATTGAACCACCAGGTAAACCAGGGCCCTCAATTGTTCAACCAAACAAACCCCAAAACGACACCCATGCTTGGTAGTTAAAACATCAATTGCCCAACACGGCCTACCATTTGTCTATGCAAGCGCGGTTCGGTCGTCCTAGGGTGTCCTTTGGGTCGGGCGAACATGTCTACTCATTTAAGGCCCTCATTTAGCCCTTTTGTCCGCCACTGGTGAAGGGGTTCCGTAACTAGATTAATAGCCATTTTAAAGGTCCTTTGGAATAGATAACAATGGACCTGGGCAAACTAGACCAATGCACCAACGGAGTGAGCTCATTTTGCATACCGGAGAGCAGGCTGTACTTTGTCCAAATGAATTCCGAAGGCATACCTTGACAACAGGCTGAATTTGAGGAAGCCGTTCCTCCCATTGTTGAGAGCAAAACAGGAATCAGTGGATTTGTCCAACCAAGTAGTCTTTAAAGGACGACTCAAGCTGTCCTCCCTGGAATAGATGGGCTCCACTGGTGAACTTGTTCGATTGTTGGCATCCTCCGCGAGCCACGGACATGTTCTTGCAGAAAGCAGTCTTCCGCAAATGTCAATAATATTATGGCCAGACTCCCATGGTTGTCAGGCAGAAAAACCCCTCTCAAATAACAGAAGGCACCGCAAAGGACCCTATTAGCCCCTGCCGGGTCTTATTCGTCGCTATTACCGCAATGGGATTGGGGTGGCCCTTGACAACTACAGGCCTGACAGCAGCAAAACATGCAAGCAAAAACTTCTCAGGCAGCTCAGCTGCCTGAAAGCGCTCTGGGAGCGTTGCATGCAAGTGAATTCTAGTGTCAGCAACTCAGGACATTCTCTTGTGGTCCCTGTGAGTCTTTCGGTTTGTCAATCACACCTTGGTCATCCGCACTTTCCGGTCCGGGCCCTCCGGGCGCGGCGTTTTTGTGGAGGAAGAGTATGAGCCCCAGCAGGGGCAGCAATGCGATCATGGCCGCGCCGGACCCAAAAAAGGCGGCCTGGTAGCTGCCGCTGAGATCGAAGACCAGGCCCGCTAAGGGCGGCCCAGCCAAGAGCCCGAAGCCCATGGGGATGCCCAGCAAGCAGAAGAGCGGCTGCACCCGGTGTGCGCCAAAAAGCTCCGCCACCACCAGCGTCACTAGGGCGATCCGTACCCCAGAGGACACCCCGTAGATCATGGAGAAGCTGGGCAGTTGCCAAGGCTCACAGAAGGGCAACCACAGCAGCACACAGCCCTGCAGCAGAAACAGTGCAGGGAAAATCCAGCGCGCTGGGATCCAAACGGCCAGAACCCCGCAGGACAGCCGCCCCACCATGCTCCCCAAGCCGGTAAGAGACATAAGCCCCGCGGCATTGTCATAATGCAACTCATCGCGGGCGTAGAAGACCAGATGGGTAAATGGAATCATGGAAGTCGCAATGTAGAGCAGCAGGCACACGCTGAACAGCGCATATTTCAGCTCCAGAAAAGGCCGAAACGAAGCCTTCAGGTCCCAGGCCTTTGGCTGCTTCTGGTTGGTCTGAGTACCTTCCGACTTCAAGAGGCAGCGCAGCGCGAGACAGCATGGGATGAGGAGGCCAGCGTAGGCACCGGCCAGGATCCGCTGTGTGGAGCGCCAGCCCAGCTCCAACAAGACCTCCATAGCACTGTTCACGGCCATGGTGCCAGCACCTGCTCCTGCTGATGCCAGCCCCACGGCTACCGGAAGCTGCCAGCCCTCCACTCGGCCGTAGAGCAGGGTGGCCGCGGGGCATACGATCAGCGCTATGGCCAGTCCAGAGATGAGGCTGTATGACAGCAGCAGCCACCAGGGGCTGGGGGCGATGCTGTCCAGCAGCATGCCCAGCACCAGGCCAACAACTCCCAGCTCCAGGGTCCGCACGTGGCCGTAGCGCCTCAGCAAGGCGCCCGCCAGGACGTTGCCCAGGCACATGGTCAAGTCCCGCAGGGACCCGATCAAAGCCAAGGAGCCCGAGGCCTCGCCGCTCTCCTCCTTCAGCGCGGTGAAGAGCTGTCCATAGGAGTAGTACGGAGCAAGAGAAACTGCCTGCAGGGTAAAGGCCACTGCGAGCAGAAGCAGCTTCTTCCAGGTGCTCGTCAAACTCGCGCTATTCCCGGCCATGGTTGCTACACTGCGAGATGCCCGGCAACAGAATGTTGAGTGTCAAACACGCAGCACAGCACGCGGAATATGAGTCGTCCCCCATGTCCCGAGCCCGCAAACAACCAGCAAAACCATCTGGGCTTGCAACGAAAGCAGTGATTCCTGCAGCCATGGGCTGACACCTCATTGTGGTTGACAATTGCCATCAATGAGTCACATAAAGTGATCATGGGAAGAATGTTGCCCAAACCGGGGTAACCAGCCTCGGGAACCTGCTCCAGGCTAACATCTTGCAAGCAAGAAACGTCTTTCTAACCCGGGTCTGTTGACACACGACTATTTGCTACAGCCCCATCACTCAAAATGAACAGACTCGAAGAAGTGAAAATGCAAACTCGTGGTCCAGCTCTCTTCAATTACCAAGAACCATGCAACGGGCTCGAAGAGCAACCAAGATACAGCAGGGGATACCAGATCCGATTCCTGCTGAGTAAGGCGTCGTCTCGGCATGACCCCAGGAGGCAGCTTCAAGGGAAATGAGTCGCAATCAACCTATTGGCGTCTGCCCAACGCTTCAAACAACTCAAAGGCCGGAATTCTGGCCGCGCCAACTTATTTTTGGACGCAGTGGAAGACAACAGTCCAAAACTGGAAGTGCGATACGGGTCTTGGGGGGGTAGTAGTTCCCACGTGTCCTCACTAAAAAAACGGGAGCAAGTGGAAAGCAGCATGAATCGCCGTGTGTGGTTGTGTGTGTGTGTCTTCTTTCAGGCCCCCCCCCAAAATGGTGGCTATCCTTTGGTTTCTCAAAAACCATGGGGCACACCCCGAGACAAGACACCACCAACTGAGGTCGTGCTGCATTCCTGGGGTCCTGGACCCCTCAATGTGCCGGGACGCAGTTCCAAGGATGTTGGGCACATGGGTAACCACCACTTCTTCTTGGATGCCTCACGGAAAATGGAACGAAGGCTAAAGGGCGCTGGAGATCTCACTGGGCGTTCGTTGTTGACTATTTCAAAAGAGGGATACGCCGAAAAGGATAGATGTACGTTAGGGGGGCCAAATATGTAAACTACAACAATTCCCTCATCATCATAGCAGCAACATAGCTGTAATCATTCAGCCCATCATACTAAGTGTCGAACAGGAGTCTGAAAAAGATGCAGGACATGGCAAGTACAACATATTTCATGTTGGTGTCTTGCAGAGCGCTTTGAACAGTTAGGGCAGGCCATGCGCAACTTTTTTCGGACTCAAAAGTCTAGGGTCCACCCTAGGATTTTTTTGCATTTTTTGAATAAGCGCCCCAAAACAGCCATTTTAAAACATTTTTTGAAACAGTCTAAACACATTTTGATAAATATTTTTTTAGTACTGCATACCAAAACAAAAATTGAATTATTTTTTGAAAAACTCAATACACCTAAACATTTTCATTTTCAAAAACACATATTTTCCAAAATATTTCAGAAAATATATTTTTTCAAAAGAGATAAATATATATAGCAGTTTAAGAAGAATTATTCAATAAGAAACAACATTTTCAATAATTCAATGAGGAGACTTAATAATTAATCATTTTTCAAAATTTGGATATTCCGGAGTTGCGCATGGCCCACCTTGTAGGATTTTATCTTCAATATATAAAACGCTATACTTATAATTATAATATAACATATAAGGGTATAATTTATTATTATAGTATGATTAAGAATTATGTTAATCCAAAAATATTATAATCCAAAAATCAAGCTATGTTAATCCAAAAATCAAGCTATGTTAATCCAAAAATCAAGCTATGTTAATCCAAAAATCAAGCTATGTTAATCCAAAAATCAAGCTATGTTAATCCAAAAATCAAGCTATGTTAATCCAAAAAACAAGCTATGTTAATCCAAAAAACAAGCTATGTTAATCCTTAATCCGTCAAACTCACCAAGATTTCACAAATTAATTCGCTAGGTATTTTATATAAATCTTCCTGTTTATGTATTGTTGGATTGTCTCCCCAATTTTCCTTGGTGCCCGATGGCAGTCTCTGCGCTGTTTCAATATGTTTATTATTCCTGATGTTGCCACAATCCTTTTTACATAATTCTCTAGGTTTCCAAGTTGTAATGTTATTCCATAGCCTTGTCCTCTTTCTATAATTAAATCCATATTTACAATAATCAACATCTTTAAAATCAAACTCATCCATAAACTCCTGATGTTTTAATAATCCAGTTTGTGGATTTTCGATTACAAAATATTTAGGATTGAAATATTTGATAATCTCAATAGTTTTTAAGACAATACTATTTGCATATTCGATATTCCTAATTCCCCTAGTTTTTGCTATGCTGTATTCAGTGCATGGGGGACTACTCCAAATAAAATCAAAATGGTTTCTGTCAAACTGTTTGTAATCCCACTCCAAAATATCAGTGTTGATATCAGCATTTTTCAAGTCTAATGATATTACATTAAATCCAAGCGACTTTGCTATGGTTCCGACGCTTTTTGTTCCGCTAAATAATTCTAATAAATTCATTTATTAGAATTACTTAGATATTAATTATTCAAATAATACATATACTCCATCATCATTTTTTGAAATTTTATAAAATTCTAATGTTTGTTGCTTTGGTTGTTTGATTTTTCCTGTATTCAACATATCACAGTATTTCTTTTGCTTTGTCGGGTAGTCGCCCGATGGTCTTCCTATAGATTTTGCTTGAAATATCTTTTCGATTTTCTCCTTCTCTTCGTTGCTTTGTTGTTCGCGTTCAACTGGTTTAAGTTTTTCATCAATGGATTTAATCATATCATTTAAGGTTTTAATATTTTTACCAATTAATGTTATCTTCTTCATTAAATCATTAATAGTATAATTCTCATTTTCAGACATTACTATATATTTATTTAGATAATTATTTATTTATATTTATAAAGTGCAATTATGTTAAATCTACTCTTTAAATACTAACTTATGTCCCTGTTAAAACTAACATTAATCAAATGTTCGTTAGTTTCAATAACCATATCACCATCTGTTCTTTTCTGAACATTAAAATCTTTATCTGTTTTTTTATAAGAAAACATACATGGGACACAACTAACTTTGACTCCACCTTTTTTATCTACTGTCAATTCATTTTTAAAATTCATTATGTGATTACATTTATCACATTTTATAGCCTTACTTTCGCCTAGTGATTTAACACTTTCTGCTGTTTCTTTCCGTGCTTCAATATCTGGTATTGGTCTTTCTTTGCTTTTACTCTTTTTCTTTTTTCCCATTTATATTAATATTTACATTTTTATTTTTGAGATATTGAATTCCTAACTTAATTATTTCTAATGAATAATAACAACATTTTTTTTTTTTATTGTCAGTAATTATTACTTGTTCTATATTTTCTACTTCATCTATTATATTAATATAATCTGTATAACTCCTTTTCATATTAAATAATAAGATAAATTATTTTTCATTTCTGCCTTTCTCTTCTTGTAAAGTTTTTTCATTGTATCGTCTTTATTCCATCTATATTCTACAAATTTCTGATGATATTTTGAATTTAGATGTTTAAATAAATATTTGTCATCATAAGTTTTACAACAATTGCAATGGATAACAGTCATATAATAATAAGATAAAATAATTATTTAAATTATTTAATCTTATTATTTTCATGCATAATAGAATATTGGTGGGGCACAGCACTTGGGGTTTTCATTGCACACGCGAGAGAGATACAAACTAATTAGCTTCAATGCTTATTGATTGTAGCAATGGAAAACCTGTTCCATTTTATGATATTCGCCACCAGCATATCATAAAAACGATGGTCGCGTTAGCACGCGAGGCTCGTTCCTCACGTCCATTTAATATTAATTACAAGTTAATTTTTAAATATAATTTTCTATATTTCTTTAATATCAACTATGTCAGATGTTCCAATAATAAAACCAATAAACATAACTGAATATGAATTCAAACAATCTAAATATGAGCACGTGCCAAAATTACCATTTAGAAGTATTATAGTCGCGAGTTCAACGGGCGGGAAGACTGTCCTTATTCAAAATCTAATATTGAATGTTTATAGAAATTCATTCGCAAGAATATTTATATTTTCCCCCAGCGTTCATAATGACCCTACCTTTACAGAAGTTAAAAAATATATCAGGGATGAATTGCACGTGGATGATGAAAAAGAACAAATTTATTTTGATAATTATAATCCAAGTGATTTAGAAAATGTAATTGAAAGACAGAAGAAAATAATTAATTATATGAAATCTAAAAAGATAAAGAAACTGCATTCAATATTAATCGTTATAGATGACCACGCAGACGACCCTAAATTTGTTAGATATAGTAAATTATTACATGGATTATTTACAAGAGGCAGGCACGATGCAGTAAGTGTGATTTGTTCAACACAAAAATACAATGTTTTAGCGCCTATCATTCGTTTAAATGCCAGTTCATTATATATTTTTAGGTTGAAAAATGCCAGTGAGCTAATGAGTTTTATTGAAGAAAATAGCGCCATTGTTGACAAACAGCAATTATTAGATATGTATCATCAAGCAGTGAATTTTGCTCCATATTCTTTTTTCTACGTGAATATGAATTCAAAAGACATTAACAAAATGTTTCATATCAATTTTGAACAGGCATTTCAAATTACAAATGATGAATAAAGATATTCTAACTTAATATAATATAATAATATGCCAATGAAACTATGTAGATGTGGTGGATTGTATCGTAGAGGTAATTATAATTTTCATACTAATTCTTGGATACATAAACTTTATAAGGCATTGAAGAGGAGGGCAACGGACGAGGAATTATTAAGATTTCAAAATAATTTTGTTGACGCTTCGCCAGAGGCTCGCGAGCTTCGCGACGATTTAATAGATGAAACAAATAGCACTGTTTCAACATCAACGCCAAAAAGTGAAATGACAGATTATGATAGCAATTAATAGCATTAAGCCATTGGCTTAATGTTATTAAT